CTCCTCCTGCCTCCTGGGAGGCACCTGGGGACCTTTTTGGAATGTGCCCCTGGGATGGGGCTTGCTTGCTTCAGCACAAGCCTGTAGCAGTGCTTAACAGAGAAAGTGAATAGGAGTGCAGCCAGAGGAGGTTGAAAAAGGGGCAGGTGCTGCTTTCTGTGAGCAGGCTTCTCTCATAAACCCCTTCTACACTAATCCACAGAATAGAGGCTGGAGGTGTGAAAGATTCCAAGTAAAAGTGCAGCTGGTTTCAGACTTCATGTTAGTGTGATCATGTCATGGAGGTGTGACATCATTACATGGATTTGTGAGTCAGTGCTTGGGGCTCTTACAAATTGAGTAGTGGAATTAGATGGACAAACCTAGAGAGAAAATGTTGGTTCCCAAAAAACCCAGATGCTGGGTGGTTGTGCGTTAATCCTAATCCAAACGTGTGTGTGGAGCATTATGAGCCTGCCAGAGCCAGCACCATGGTGAGTTCTCTCCTGTCCTGACGTGGATGTGGCTCCAGTGTCCCAGAGAAACTCTCTTCAAGTGAGAGATCAGTTTGTTCATTCAAATACTGCTATTTCTACTTTAAATTGCATGATAGTTTTGTGGTTTGGATGCTGGTCCTCTAAGACTGGCAGATTTAGGTTTGAGTCCCAGCGGATCCTACTTTGGATCAGAGAATGCAGATTTAATTTTCGGGTTTTGATCTTTATTTACTGCTCTTGTTCTACATTACCTCCTGGGGGCATCATAGACATTAAAAAAAATTTATAGGTTATATCAGATTACAGTATTATGATTAGATAATAAAAGCATCAATTTTCTAAAGAAAGGAAAAGGAACAAGCCTTCCATTTTTTCAGCAGGGCAGAAGTTGAAAATTGAGTAGAACAGTCAATTCTGCTTGGTCACCATCTTTCAGCATAGTTTGGAAAGGCAAAGCATATTTTACTCTTGTTTGCAAGCAAAAGCTGGAAGTGAGCTGTGAGTAATTTTAGAATTAAATCCTTTACTAAAATTTAATTTGTGACCTAGAAAGCTAAGCCAGAAACAATAGGACTAAATGTTTCAGCAGTTGTACACATGTGCCTTCGCAGAGTTAATACTGAGTTCTCCCTGTCACAGGACAGGGAATTTTCTTTCAATGCATTTGTACATCTGTAAGCCAGTCACATATGAAAACAATAACCAAGGAATAAGGAAAAAGTCAATAAGGAAATTTATATATAGCTGCTATTAAACTGGAGGAAAACAAATCATCTGTTGGGGTCAGTTTCAGTGGGAAATCAATTTGAGCAGAGTTTTATTGTCGTCTCTGCAGATCCTTCATGTTATTTGCTTGCACCTTTAATAGTCATGACCGAGGAGGTTTTTACACTTGAGCCTGAGCTCCCTGAATCATTGTGTTTGTTACCTTTTCAACATCCACATTCCCAGTTGTCACAAATGCTACCTAACAACAGCGAGCGCTCAAAGTACATTTCCCCTCTTAGCTCCAGGGAGTTTTCAAGGTTCCTGTTAAGTGCTCAGAGCAGTTAGGCTGCAGTGCCAGACAAATTCGAACCATGTGAAGTGTAAAAATGCCTCTCTGTGCACTGCATGGGGCTGCTAAGACTAAAACTCTTCATATATGTTCACACAAGCCTAAAGTTAGTCATAAAATCCCAGCTCCTATTCAGGTGAAGAAGTTGAGTGCTAATACAATAATCAAAATATCAATAAAAATATAAATACCTGGCAGCATACGAGACATGTGATTAAATAAAAAATCACTGAAACATTTTCTTAGTCCAAAAATATACTCTCCTTAAGTTTTACCTTTAGGTGCAAGTTTGCCCTTTAGGTACAAGTTTTCCTAATGGTAAACTAATTTAACCTTTGCATTACTGTTGATACTGTCATATAGTTTTTAAAATTTCAATTAATCCTAAAAAGCTTAAAAATGTCTCATTATTTGCTAACCCAGTTGTTTTGTCAGTGAGAGCTGCAGGTTTACAATAGAAATTTCATTTTTAATTTTCAATTTAAGTTAGAAAAATAATGGGAATTCAATGAAAAATGGCTCTTCTAAATATCATGTATTTCTCTTCCTTTTTGTAGCCTGATTTTGAATTCCATCTCGTCCTGTTGTGGTTATTTAATTCTCTTTAGGGAACTCTTAATTCTCTCTCCCTCATGTGAAAGACTTAAGTCTAAGCAGTGTTGCACATGGTGATGCTTTCACTGTTTATTGGTTTATAATGTTAACTGCCTTTACTTTGATTTTTCTCTTTGCTGCATTTTCAGACACTTCCAATGAAATAGTGAAATACAGTAACTGAGCTGCTCTGATGTTACAAAATGGAAATTAAGGCTGACTTTTGTTTAGACAGTATTTAGAACAGAGCTTATTAAGTTTTACATTGTATTCTGAGCATTTGTACAACAAGAAATTAATTAAATGGTTCAAATGTCAGGTTATTTCTCCAAATTATAGCCCAGCCCTGGGTTGGGGCTATATTCAGTTTACCTTAACTCTTACTGTATCTTAAATTCATTGATTGTAGTAGATTTAAGCATAAAGTTAGAAGTTATCTGAACAAGATATTTTCTTTAATTGGGTTCAAGCCTTCTAGCACTTTTTAAACCCACCTAACAGGTGTACAAAAAAAAATCCAAAAGAATGCATTAAAATGTAAAACTGTGACAGTCCAGCTTGTCACTAACCTGCAAAGAATGGTTTTGTGCTGGGAATTTTTTCCTTTTTGTCTCACCTTGGTGTGAGATTAAAGGCAGTTGAAACATGATGTTCCCTTGATTATTTATCTCCGCTCGCTGAGCCCATGCAGTGGGATTCTGAATGTCTCATTTCTGAGCAGCTTTGGGAACCCTAGGGATTAGGGAAGGTATATGAATGTTTTATAATGTTATTGATAACTGCAGAGCAGATGTTTTCTAATAAACTGCTGTGAGATAAGTTACTGGTAGCATCTGCAGAGATGTGTGCAAATGAGCTCAAAATAATTAATATTGTGTTAGGAGAAAGCTTGTTTTTAAAAGTTGGTCTGTATTGCAGCATGCAACATTGTTTCAGCCTGCCCTGAGAATCTTTTAGAGCAAAATTACCATAATTTATTAGGGGAAAAGCCATTTCTGTTAATCATATATTAATTATTCATAACATCAGTATTAATTTTACCTTAATGGGAAGTGTTACCAGCTGGGTACTGGGCTTGATAATCTATCCACATACCAAAAAAAAAAAAAGAAATAAAGAGGGATAAATAGCTTGACTTAAAAAGAAGACATAAAAATGACTTAGGAGAGCATAAAAGAAGCAAGTATGGACATATGAGTTCCCATGGAGCTGGCTACAGCAGGGAAGTTCAGCCTGCTAAGCACTTTGTGTTTTGGCTCTGGCACTGGTTTGCAGGATTCAAGTGGAATTGCTGAAGGATGTTTGTTGCACACAAATCGTGTCTGCTTCTCCCAGATTGATTTTAGGAATTTAAATTCAGGATAAATTCCTCCTGCTGGAAGAAAAGAAAAAAAAAATTGCCACATTTTAATGTTTTGTGAACTGTGTGAAATGTGAAAATGCTGTTCAGAGGACGTGTTCAGCCTGGAAGGAATATGAAAAAGTGGATCCTCCACTCTGTTAAAGGAGGATTTTAATACTTAGATTATGACTCAGGACTAGAAAGTATATTTTGCTGGAAGTTCAGCAAAATCAAAAGCAGAATGAATTGTCAAAATTTTATTTTAATTAAAACTTTTCTTTCTCTTTAATTTTCTTCTCTTTTAAATTTTTTTCTCCTGACTATTGAAAAGTTCTTTTGCAAAAATGAAAACCCACTTAGAAAGGGCATTGGCTGAAGCATGCAAATATGTAATGCCTATAAAGTGCAGCTAGTTTTATATGAACAATAAAAGCTTCAGAGGATTCAGCCGATACTAAATTGTTGAGATCAGCTCTAGAGCCTTTTTATTAGGATAGCAAATGTTGAACTTATAAACAGATTTTATTTACATGTTAAGATAAAAGGCTGTTTATTAGTAAAAGATTTTTTTTTGAAATGACAGTTACAACCTCCAGTGTGTGATCTGTGAAATACAATCTGATGAATTTTAGCCAAAGCCATGGAAAGAAGCATTTGGAGTGGGAAGTCAACCCAAAAGAAACAAAACAAAATAATTTTTAAAAATTGCACAGCTTTCATTGAGTCCAGGAAACCCAGACCGGGTCTTGGAACAACTTATGGATCTGGGTGGTCTAAAATGGAACCAATGTTCAAGAATCTTAAGTAATTATTATTTTTTGTGTGTGTGTTTAACATTGATACTATTTCCACATTGTGGGTGGTGTGTGAACCTATGGTATGCAATCAGTTGTCATGCCTAACCCTGATCAATGCACATAAAAAAATTATGTTATTTTGCAGTTTATATTTTCCCTTTTTATTCATTTTCATTTTCAAAGAAATGTGGTGAAAAGTGAAGTGTGTATGGGAGCAATTTTCATCTGGAGAACTTCACCAAATAATGATGCCAAAGAGGCTGAATTGTGCTGATGGTTATTCCCAGCCGTGAGTAGCAGGAGCTCCTTGTACTTTAATGCATCCCAGCCCCCTTTTAGACTTTCTTATCAAAATGTTAGGAAAGTCTGAAGTCAGAGTTCTGCAGAGTCTGGTAATGATAATACCTCAGCATTATAACAAACAGGTACTGCTGCTATTTTGCTCTGTATTTCCCACTGAATATATTTCATTGCTAACACTGTAGTAGCAGATCAAAACCATCTGCTGCCTTGCCACCAGTCCTCCTCCAGTGGAGGGGAAAATCTCAGCTGGTTTTCCGTGAGGCCAGGGTGCTCCAAGGCAGGAGTACCACGGCTGCAATCCAGCTGCTGCTGTCGGTGAGGGGCCAGACCTTTGCTGGATTAAATGAAAACCTCACTCTTTGCCAAGAGCTGGAACACAGATAAACTCAGTTTGCTTCTTTCCCTCCCCTCTCCCCCTGCCCCCTCTGCAGCTCCATCCCCCATCACAGTCATAAGGAAGGACAGGACGTCCAGGAACAGCGTGTCCCTCTCCTGGCAGGAGCCCGAGCATCCCAACGGGATCATCTTGGACTACGAGGTCAAATACTACGAAAAGGTGGGAAGGTCAAAGGGGAGGGGTTTGCTCAGCACTGCTGGGATGAAATCATTGCATCTTGCCTGTGTTAAGGGTTCAGAAACACTCAGGTTTGTACAGCCTGCCTCAACAGCACTGAGTGTTGGAACTGCTCGGTTTTTGGTGATGAGAACATCTGGAAATACAAAGTGAAATCATTGTGTTGTCTACCAAGTTCACAGAATGAGTAGGTTAAAAGAGACCTTCACGATCTCTTGATCCTTGACTCTTGATCTCTTCAAGACCATTGAGTCCAACCCAGCCCCAAACCATCAACTAAACCCTGGCACCCAGTGCCACATCCAGGCTTTGTTAAACACACCCAGGGATGGGGACTCCACCACCTGCCTGGGCAGAACATTGCAGAACTTTATCACTCTTTCTGTAAAAAAAATTTTTCTAATATCCAACCTATATTTCCCTTGGCACAGCTCAGGCTGTGTCAGTGCTGCTGGACAAAGAGCCCAGCCCCAGCTGAGCACAGGCACCTTTCAGGAGCTGCAGAGAGTGATGAGGTCACCTCTGAGTCTCCTTTTCTCCAGGCTGAGCACCCCCAGCTCCCTCATAGGGAATCCCCAAGCACATAAAACAAACACAAAGTAATGCAGTCAATATATAGTTCCTTTATTTTCTTATTTTCTCAACTAAAATTTCCTTATTATGCTGTTCTGTCATGCTGTCAGTGCCCATACATTTCCTCACATGCTGGTGGCACTTCCCTGTAGCATGAGCATCTTTTACGTGAAAATTATTTGGAAAATGTTGGCTGGCCTACTGGGCTGGTTTGCACTGTGAATGTTGTTTTTATGAATAACTGAATTATTCATAAATTGCAAGCAAATTACTACAAATGAAAGAAAATCTACCTTCTGCTTTTTATTGACATTTTCTTTTATTTACAACCATTCATTTAGACATCCTATAGAGATCTATACTTACCAAAAAAAAATCTTCGTAATAGAATGTTTTTAGCAGGTCTTACTGGTAGAATTGAAAATATCATAAATTGCCATGGAGATTGAGGAGTGTGGTCTTAGCCAATTTTTTATAGATCTATTGATAGCTCTATTTTATATATTACTCCTGGAATTAACAAACGTTGAAAAAAATGCCAGATTTCTGGTTAGCAAATTGAGCATTAGCTAACAGTCTTCATATCTAATAATCAGGCTTTATACCAGTGAAGATGTAGTGATAATATCCTCTAAAAAATGCTTTTAAAAATACTCCATGAGTATTCAGTTAATCTTTAGAATTTTTTTTTTCATGAAGGTTTGGAGGGGGACAATGTGGTGCTGGTAGCTCATGCCTGATCTTCAGATGAAGAAAGAGGATCAGAAGGCTGGATGCTTGAAAGATTTCTCCCAAATTTATGTAATCTGATTTTGGGAAGAGTTTTTTTGCTGAGCACTTGAACCTTCAAAGACTTTGGTAAAAATCTAAACATACCATGTGCTGGTGATAATGGGGGAAAACGAAATCATCCAAAACGTTTCAACTCAGTCTCATTTAAGGGAGCAGCATCTGTGGGCTTCCACATTGTTTTCTTTTTTTAATTTCAATTGGGACAAGATCAATTTCAGTCATCCCAAGGAAAGCAGGGCTTGGGAAAGACAAATGCCAACACTCCAAATATCCCCCTCTCCCTTCTTCTATCTCAGCCTTCCAAGCTGAGCATGGTGCCATCTGGGATGGGATATCCATGTGCTCAGCTGGGATCAGCTGTCCTGGCTCTGTCACCTCCCAAATCCTTGCTCACCCCCAGCCTCCTCTTTGGAAAGGTGTAAGAGGCCTTGACACTGCAACCACTGCTCAGCAATAACAAAAATATCTCTCTATTATCAAACCTGTTTTCAGTGCAATTCCCAAAGCTACAGCTGGATATTGTGAGGAAAATTAATTCCACCCCAGCCAAAAACAGCACAGGTGATCTCTTGGGTTTTACTTGCCCCAAAGGGAGAGATTTTTTCCCTTGCTGTGCACATTCAGTTAATTTTAATTAAATCACCTGTAAGTTTTATTTGTGTTGGTTTGGGATGTTTTGATCATCTTTCTGCACCAAAACTGGGGTTTTCTGTTCACAAAAATTGCCATGCAGTGCTGTTTTATGCACAGACAGAGCACACAGCTCCTATTCCCACCGGGTGTATCCACTCTCAGGGAGCACTTGGTTGTCAGAAGACAGCTTTATAAGACAACCCACCAGTCTTAGGGGGCTGATCTTGCACATGTGTTTCTCCCCTTTGAAGTCTGTGATCAAGAGTTCATGTGCACCAGACAGTTTTCTTAAACCAGGGAGCCAAGTGCTTGACAATGGGAGCCAGACCATTTAGAGCAAAAGGCTTTTAAAAAGCCAACCTTTCTGGCACCAGTGTTTTTAATGTGTGCTCTGCAGGCCCTTGGGGAGTCAGAAGCCTATTCCTCAGGGTTTATGAGGAGAAAAAAAAAAAGTCAAAAGCAAATCTGTTGTCAGGAAACTTGAATCTATATATTTTTAAGCTTTGCAAATAGGTTCAAAACTAATTCTCTGATAAACTTACTTGAGGCCAGAGCAGCTCATGCAGAATTGTTACTCTTCATTCCTCCACTAAACGCCTTTGAAAGATGCTGCTTTTCAGTCTGGGGTCTCTGAACATGCTTCCTTCCCTCCTCTTTTGAGAGGAGAGGTTTCTTTTCAAACTGGTCCAGTCCATTTGATTTTTCTGCTTCAGAAATCATCTCGGTTGTGCTCATCAGAAAATCCACTGCTGTTAAATGGAAAGAAACCCTTCAGAGTTAGCAAATCTGGGTATTTCTCCTGACAAGTCATACCTGATTGCTGATAGATGGTTTGTGTTGAGCCATCCTTTTTCATCCTGCTTGTTTTCACTTGATATGTCTTTTGTCATCTCTTAGAAATTAAAAAACAGAGCATTAATAGAGCAATGCAGGTCAGCCCAATTCTGTCATATATCTTGTTCATGGCATTATGTTGTTAAGCTGGTCTTAAGGTATTTAGGATATTACAAGAGATTTGGAATAAAAAATACAATGTCATGTATATAAACTAGAATATCTTGTAGTTTTTTCTCATGGATTATTGTCATAAAATATGTGAAATATATTCAGTTTCTCAAGGGCAGTTAATTACCCTGCTCATTTGGGGTTTTTTCGTCAGTTATTGCCTTTGTATAGCTGAAACAGCTTTATATGTGTCTAAAGAAATTAGTAGCTACAGCTTTAGGAAACTATTTCAACTCCTTGGAATTAATCAGAATGGCCTGGGTTGGAAAGGAACTTTATAAGATCATCCATGACCCTCTGCTATAGGCAGGGATAATTTCCACTATCCCAGGTTGTCCAAAGCTGCATCCAACCAGGCTTTGAGCACTTCATAGCATGATGAACTGAGTGGCAGTTTTTCAGCGGCAGTATTTGGAATAGAATTGTATTTTTGCAAAAAAATACAATTTAGAGCTTTATTATGAAGCCCCAATCAATTTTTATTCAAAACATTTAAAAGAAACAAAATCTCTCAGAGGGAGACCATATGGAATTTTTAGGCATTCGCTTTATGGTAAGGCATAACATTTTATGTTAAGGTAATAGTACTAAATGACACCTCAGTTTAGTTCATCCATATAATGCTGTGCTGAATTTTAAGTGTCTCATCCATCAAAGTGCATAAATAACAAAGCCATGTTTTCCCTTGCACAAGCCCTGTTCTTGTTTCCTCCTTGTCCTTATTCACATAATCATGTTCTCTTGAAGGAGTATCTTGTCATGTGAAGGTACAGAAGAAAGTCATCTCTTAAACACCACTCATAAACTATTAATTGTTTCAACTAAATATGTGGCTTACAATTAAATCACGTACTCTTTATTAAGATGGAGTCTTCTGCAAACCATGAATGAAATTCAGCTGCAGGCTCAGGTTACTAAAATAGATTTGCTTTTGCCATCATAGGACTTGTGTGATCAGTGGTTACAGCCAATACAGATCTCTGCACTTGGAGGCTGAAAAAGTGCATTATATTCAAATGCACTTTGTTGCTTTTGAACTCTAATTATTCTGGCTTTAAGTGCAGGTAGACCATGAGTACTCCACAAGACTTGTAGGAAATGTCATATCCATGCAGAGCTCACTTCTGGCAATAAGGGAAGCAGTATCAGGAGTGTGGCCTCCTCCTAGAAATGTGTACCCAGGTTTTGGCCTCTCAAGTGCACGTGAAGCTGATGGAAAAAATATTTTTCCTTCTATAATATAAGCACTTTCTGTGCTTATCTGGAAAAGGGCAAACCTTTTGCCCTTCCTGGTATCAATTTAAAATGTCTCCAAAACATGATTTTTGTAAAACAAAGTGTAACATTATAAAATGTCCCTTGCAAATGAGACCCTAACAGCAGTAGGATTTTCTTCCCAGCAAAGGTTGTGTCTGATAAACTATGCAGAAATATTCAGGAAGAAATTGCTTTGTGCATCCAAGTTCAAACTTATCCTCAGAGTGTTTGGTTGAAGTTCTGCTTGGCAAGGACTGAGTATCCTTTTTGTCTGTTCCTTCTGCTTATGGGAGCTCTAGTGCTGTATTTCTGAAGTTTTGCTTTATCCCCAGGAAAGATAAACTTGGGCTTTTATGTGGTGTTGCGCTGATTTGATTACTACGAACATAAAAAATGACTTACAAAATATGTGTGTAAAAAGCTTCCCATAAACTGAGATACCATGACATCCTCCATACCATTGTTTTAAAGGTTTATTTTCCAAGTTCCAGTGTGGATTATTAACAGACAGGGCCATGACTGTGTTTTCCCTTGCACGTATGTATCTGCACCAGAAGGCAATGTTTGCATTTCATAAAAGCAGCCTGAAGCGAGATCAAAATGAATGTCCAGTCATAGCATACACAAAAGATGTTGTGTTTTAAAGACAAGATTATTATGTCTTTGAAATTAGAATAGTTGCCTACATCCAACTAAATGATGAGATAAGGAAAGCCTGCAAATTATAATACCAGGCCTTTGTTAGTTCAAAAATAAATAATTTTACACAAGCCTGTTAGCTCTTTACAGTGTCCTCCTGTAAATTTGATCCCCTGAATTTAGAACAGAGAACTTTTTAAAGAAGTATTGGGAAACTGAGGAGGTCCAACACTGATTTCCTTTTAATTTTGCAAAGAAAATGGGCCATGGTCAACATTTTTATAGTCATTCTTTGAAGACTGGGCCCAGCTCCCCCTATCTGAGGTTTAGATTCTGGATGGTAACTTTTAGGCACTTAGCTGCTTTTTCTGTTTTCTTAAGTTTTTTTTTCCTTTCATTGTGATTTCTCACAAGCCTAATGTTGAGTACTACAGGGAGATTCTGGAAATTTTCCTAACTATGGTGTAAATGTTTCTGTTTCTGTATATCAAAGCACTGCCAAGAACAGGGCACTTAGTCTTCTTTAGCACCAAAGTGAGCAGTTTCTGATGTTCGCCTACTAACCTAGAATATCCTGACTCTATTCCTGCAGACAGCAGAGCAAACACACTAAAACAACTCCAGTCACTTGAACTTTACACCTGGAGGTGAAATGGCAATGAGTGTGTTGGGTGCTTTCCAGCCCCTGAGCTCGTGCACTGGCACTGCAGAGCTGTCAGAGTGAAAATGTCAGCCCCTGAGCAGCTAATGCAATGCCATAGACACGATGAGGGTTGGGTGAGATGCTCTGCACCCGACGTGCGGCAGGACTCAATGGCCGCAGTGTTCTGCACGGGGCTCAAAGCAAAAGGACATCACATGAAATCCCCACCACCTCCAGAATTAAAAAAAAGTTCATGCTGGGGAACCTAAACAATTGAGATTCTCACAGTTTCCCTCATGTGTGGCTGCTGGCCAAGAGTTTGTTTTTTTTCCTGAGACAGTTCCAGCTGCCATATTTAGGAAGCCAAAAATGCTCTTTTGGTACAAGATGGCTTTAGTAAAATAAGCAGTACCTCAGGCCCCAAATGCATGCTTAGATGTTAAGATTATGTGCTTACAGTGAGACAGAGACATACTTTTATCAGGATTAGCTTTTTACACAGTGTGAAGTGTATCCAAACTTACCAAATTACAAACCAGTCCTCCTCTTATTTTGTATAAAGAACATTATGTCAGACATAGGTGACTCTTAAGCAGAGAAGGGTTTATGAACATAGTCCAGGACTGAGTTCAGTGTGGTTTTGTCCAAATGAGGATGGACACAACTATCTCATAGTTTTTATAGCATAATAGAAAACTAGCTAAATCTGCCTTTTTGCTGAGCTGAGGAGCCTGAGTGGGGTTTCCCTTCTGACTGTTATAGAGGTAACCACTGTCTTGTAAAATGTGAGGCAGTAAAAACTGCATCCTGCAATAGCTCTGCAGGGCCCTAAAATGTCTAAGTTGGCCTGTTACAACTTCCAGATCAGTGCAGTAGGCAAATCTGATTTATGTTTTTTAAATAATCTTTTAATAATTTTCTTGTTGTATTACAGACCACTGACAAAATGATGCAAAACCATTTAGTAAAATGTCATAAACTCAGCATGTCTAGTGTTCAATTTACAGCACAATACCATGGCAAATCTTGTATTTTGTTAAAAGATGGTTGAAAATGAATGTTTGCACAAGTGTTTGTTAGGTTATAAATATTCAAAAATACACCAGTGGTCTCCAGGACTTTTGTAGTAATTTAGAACCAACCACCTTTTTTTTTTTTTTTTTTTTTTTTTTTTTAGGGTGTGATTTTAATCTGATGTCTTTTTTCAAAAGCAGGAACAAGAGACAAGCTATACAATTCTGAGAGCCAGGGGCACCAACGTGACCATCAGTGGCCTCAAGCCTGACACCACCTATGTCTTCCAAATCCGAGCCAGGACCGCAGCTGGATACGGCACCAGCAGCCGCAAGTTTGAGTTTGAGACCAGCCCAGACTGTATGTATCTGTTCAGAAGGTTTTTGCTGACATCCTGCCCAGTTCCTGACTGATCTCAATGGCTGCTTTCGCTCCTTCTCTAGCTGAGGAAATGTGTCTCATAACTATTTATGATGTGTCTTTCTTGGTAGCACTGCTGGATAACTTTATGTGTTATCATTAAACTTGAAACAGGCTGTAAGGAAAGTTCTATCCCAGAACTATCACAGGTGGTGTTTTCTTCCATTCCCTACCCTACTTCTACCTCAAGCCAGAACTGATGCCTTGCTAGACTGTGGCTCTTGCTGAGGGAGGAGGTGTGATAGAAAACAAAGAGTAGTGTCAAGCCAAATCTTTCACCCTGATTCTGTGTATATTTGAGATACGTCATGTATTTCATCCCCACTTCTTCCTTCTCCACCCCAGCTCTTATTCTGAAAGGCAAATAAGTTTCATGCTTAAGAAAAAGAGTTAAAAATTGCTGTTATGGTGACTTGCAGCTTTGGTGTTCTAGTTGAAACTAGAACTCAAGTTAGGACAATTACAATAAGGAGGAAAAAATAGTTGCAGAGATTAAAAGCCTAACAGTTTAGAGGTTAATGAGTTTTCTCTGCAAAGTAATACTACCAAAAGAAGGGGAAATTGAAAAAATAGAAATATGGAAGGAGACAGGGGTGCACATCTCAATAATAAGCATACAAATTACACAGATGACCAACAAATGGCATGAGTTTGTTGCTGTGTTACCCAGTTATCATAAATAGGTGCAGCTGTGTGTAACAGGCACAAATGGGAATGCTATGATCCTAAACAGAGGCTCTCTAACCCGTCTAGGTCAGAAATGGTAGCTGTACACTGGTTCTCACACCAAAGGTCTAAAGCCATCCTGTCATTTTGTAACAGTTCATTTTGTAAAGTTCCATGCTCAGGCACCCAGGGAGATACCTAAAGTAAGGCAGAAAATTGCCCTTGTTTTCCCTGTAGACATCTGTGCCTGCGTGCCCTGGCTTTCCACAACCTTCATGTGGATATTGTCAGGCTTTACTGGGAAACTTAGCTCCTAAAAACACTTTCCATCATACAGAAGAGGAAGTGAAGGTGATGATTATGGGGTTTCTTGCCAAGGAAGTATTCCTTACTGAGCATGACATAAAGTATGTATGGCATGCATGACATGTATCTTTGTATTTATGTATATGTTTTTATATTAGCATCAGTTTGCCAGCAGTTGGTACAATAAGCAAGAGTAAAAATTGAGAGTAGCAGAAACAACTTGGGTAAATTGGCAAAGGTGTCTGGAGTCTTAAGTTTTCTTCTCTTGTATTTATTTGTTTGATGAAAAATTATGTCTTGGATTCAATATCTGGCAGGAGACCAAATGCTATATAATGATGCCTGTCCCCTATGTGCATGTAAATTCTGATGTCACCAATGAGTGTGTGTGTGTGAGGTTACTTACATGTTTTTGTGTTGCCTTTGCAGCCTTCTCCATCTCCAGTGAGAACAGCCAGGTGGTGCTGATTGCCATTTCAGCAGCAGTGGCCATCATCCTCCTCACCGTGGTGGTGTATGTCCTGATTGGGAGGTGAGTCTGGGGTCTGATTTGCACATTTTCTCCTGTTGCCACATCCCAGGGGAGCCTTGGTGACAGTGGCACATGGGGTGTCATGGTGTGGCTGTTTTTTAATCCTTTGTCTGCTGCCCAGGAGCTCCAAGCACTGCTCACAGTCAGTAATGAGCCCGCTCGCGTTAGCAGCCCAAATCATGCAGCAGTTGTTAAAAAATGCTATAAACACATTCTCAGGCAATTGTAAAATTAAACTGTAGGGGTCAAAAATCAACAAATCCTCTCATTAGCCAATTTCCTCAAATTCCCTGAGAACATCACATGCCTCTATAGGGCACAGAGAATGTAAATATCATTAAACTTTCAAACAGGCTTTTAATTGTGCAGGGAAAACATTCTATTCTGTTTCCACCTGCAGTCAACACATAAAATTCTCTGTATTAATTTTTTTTTCCTCTTTGCTTGTAGATTCTGTGGATACAAAAAGTCTAAACATGGCACTGATGAGAAAAGGCTGCATTTTGGGAATGGCCACTGTAAGTTACTGAAGCCTTTTAATGCTTCCAGATCTGTTGAATTCCTCCCCTAGGAAACTGATATTTTTCAATTAAAAAAAAAAGAGCCATACCTCACTTAAACCAAGGTGAAATTAGGAAGAGAATTATCCCCTCTCTTGTGGGTAAGGGGATTTTCCCCAAACAATTATTCTTTGTTTCAACTTCTTTAATCTGTGTCCAGGTTAGTAATGAGCAAAACATCTCTGTCTATGTTCAAACAATGCATGTGTTTGGAATTGTAATATTTATCCTGCTGTGCAGCACTGAAATCCAGAGTACGAGTGCATCTTCCTCATTATATAAAGTCTGAGAAACATATTTTCCTTTCCCAGAGCAAAATATGAATAAATTAAACCCATCTTGATGAACACCAAAGCTGCTGTGAAAATTGCTTGCTTGAAGAAGTTCACCTACAAATAATTGTAATAATCTGATTCTGGATCCCCTTTGCAATGTGCATAATTTTGTTACACTTTTCCATAGCAGAGCTGTGGATCCTGAAGGTTGTTTCACAGGCAAAGCTCCATCCATACACCCTTTAAACAGGAAAAAAAATTAGTTTTGGAGCAAGAGAAGCTGAGGTGAAAAGAAGGTGATAGCCTAATTCTTGATCAGGAATGGGAGGATTACTTGGTTGGTTTTTCATTTAATCACTGTACTTTGGATTTTTAAATCCTTACAGGCAAAGATAAGGCCCCTAACAGACACCAAGACAAGAAAATATTTTTTTTAACCCACGTAATTCTTGATGTCTAATGAGTTTTTGTTTAATAAGGAGCAGTAGTTCATCTTTGAAACTGTTTCAGCTGTAGATGAGTGTCCTGCTACACCATGTAAACCATGGCTGAGCCATGTATTTCTGTTGTTTAGCATGTTGTAACATTAATATCTGTTGGGTTTTTTGCACACAACATTGGCACTCTGCTGTTTGCAAGAACAGAGCTGCTGGTACCATAATCAGGTGGCCTCTCCCCAAATATAAGTGAATTAACATTTTAATGAGGGATTTACCTGCAGTAGCTGGAAATTAAAGCTGCTTCCCAATCCTCGTGACAATGGAATAACTATGCTCTGACTGTTCAAATTATTATTCTTTTAAGTTTCCTGCCTCTCCTTATCTCCAGAGAGCCAAGAGCAGGAATATCCACAATTTCTGTCTCCTTCCCCAGCACTGTCAGGGGATACACAAGCTGCAGCCCAACAACTGCTAACCAACTATTCTCAAAAAAATCTCTAAGGCTACATGTGGCCCATAGAATTAATGCTTCATCATCCAAATTTAATGAGGTTATAAAATAAAAGCAGCCAGTAAAATAAGTGTCACAGACAAATAACAGGTCAGAATTTGCTCTCCTTACTCCCACACAATGGAAAGTTGCAATCACTATTCTTAAACATGGCAGTGCTGTTAAATTCCTGTGGATTAAATTGCTTTTAATTTGGCTTTAGATATTTATGTACTGTTTTCTGAGTAGTGCCATGCTGATTCACTATGCAATAAGACCAGAGCCAATCATGGGTCTGGTATGTCTGTTAGAAGTTCTTGAAAATTATTTATTATAGATTTTGCAGATATTTATCTGTTACAATTTGGAAGTATGTACCTGTGTGGCTGTTGAAATTTTCAATCTACCAAATTACAGTCATTCCCAAAAAGTAAGCAAATTGCTCTCATGAACTGAAAAAGGACAAAGTAACTTCCATGGCTGTCGTAAACTTTCAGCATCTTATACACAGCAGCTGGTTTATTTCAGTCAGTTTACTCTGAATTACTTTTAAAAAGGCTCCAGCCATGAGCTATTCCCTGCAGCCTTATTACAAATCCTATAATATTACTTCAAAGGAACAAAAATGTTTCACCTCCTCAGATCCTCTCCCTTTGCCTCCTCTGGCTGGGCCTTTTTATTTTTTTGCTACCTTTAGGGCAATTTGTGCCGTTAAAATGAAAATGTAAATTATTATGTTTGCACAGAATGAGCTGTAAAGTAGTGCAGCTTAACACATGTGCACGTGTTTATTATCTGTATTTCATGACAGAACCCAGTTACTGCACAGGCTGCCCTTAATTATTGGTGTGAAGGGATTATTCTCCTTGCAGCCACCATCACCTGATCTTGGGAACCACTGGGGTCAGCATTAAAAATCCCAAGCCAAAAACCCCACAGTGCAGAAGCTTTTAATTGTTATTTTTATTGGGGATGTGAGGGGGCCTGTAATGTACATTCAGCATGGACGGGAAGGAGCATTTACAAGATTTTTAACCAACAGCAATATACAGCCAATTACTTTTTGTTTTACTTGCAGGTAATTCTGTAATCATCAGGCTCTTGAAGGAAACACAGTTGCTTTTTAAGGCTGTGCACACACAGCCCTTGTGTTAGGAGCATGGCTCTTACTTTGCTTTGTTTTCAAGGCAATTAGCTTGGGAACTCAGTTTTATCATTTTTTTTTTGTTTGTTGCTGTGTTACCCAGTTATCATAACTGGTATGATTATAATCTGAGGCCAATAAATACTCATAAAATTGAGGGGTTTTTTCCTTCTTATACGTACACTTTGTATTGTTTGATAAAACAATTTTGTGCTCTCACTGTCCAAAGATTTTTTTTTCCCGCGTCTTTGCAACCCCAGCAAAAAAAGGTTTAACTATTTTAGCAGTGAAAAAGTTGCTGCAGTATAATAATGCTAAGCTGGAAAGGATATTACTGAGTGGGTCAGAGCAGTGTTTGTTGAAGGAGTTAATATCTTTTACAAGACCTACTGGTACAGTTAGGGAAAGCTGGAATACATGTCTGGGAATGTAGGGTTTGTGTCAGAAGCAGAAAACTTCAAGCTGAGTATTTCACTTTTTGTTAATAAAATATATTCCTGTTGTAAAATGAGTACAACAGAGGCAGGCACAGAAGGGAGTGGGTGCAAACACAAGCAAGGCTTTGAGCTGGGCAGGAGGAATGAGGCTGTGCTTTGCTTTCAGCATTTTTGTTGGAGGCAAAGGTTGGCAATGATCTCTTCCAGCAATCCCTAGCCAAGAAACTCTAGAGGTGCCCCAAATAATAACATGGATGTATGGGGAACAAAGCTCTAGGACCAGCCTTTATTCAGAACAATTGTCTGCTATCCTTGAATGTTCTGGCAGAGATGCATTTTTTTTAATGTATAAGTTTCCTTTTATGCATCTCGTTGATGGACTTAGGGGAAAAAAAAAGCTGGAGTTACTCTGATTTCTTAATATATTCCTAAGAACTTGTCAGGTTGACTGTAGCAACACATTTTGTTCCTTGCCCCTTTTTTGTTATTTTGGAAGGGTCAATTTAAAGCAGCATCTAAATGTTGCCTTAAATTGCAGATATTTGAAATAGGTTGTCACACTTCTCTGCATTAGTGTCTGGTTTCACACTGTACAAAGAATCTGAGGACCCACAAAAACCAGTTTGGTTTGAAGAATTTACTTCTTCAAAGGAAATTCTTTCCTTCTTCTTCCTTCTATTGATTTGGTTTCTGTTGTCCCATGAGTTTTATTTCAAGTCTAAGTAACATTTTCTCTTTGAATTTGTTTTTACACAGTAAAACTTCCAGGTCTGAGAACTTATGTAGATCCACACACATATGAGGATCCCAACCAAGCTGTGCATGAGTTTGCCAAGGAACTGGATGCTTCCAATATATCCATTGATAAAGTAGTTGGAGCAGGTAATGACCACCATCTATACTGAATTAAAGATATATTTTTGCTGTGTATATACTGTTTTATGTCTTTAGGTTCATAGTTGTTACTGGAAAGAAAATGTTCTAGAAAGTGTTCAAATTAGCAGGTCACATTTGCAGCTGATTTTAGTGCAAAGTTAAGGGCACACAATTTTCTACTTCTTTTTTTTCCTGAAAGAAAGGAGACAGCAAGACAGCTTCTCAAAGGACACCAAGCCCATACTTGAGTGCACCACTGTTGGAAGGGAAAAGATCATTCTGCCTCACTTCTATCTTTCTCTTTAAAATCTGTCAGCCCAGAAAATGTTATCAACTGTGAAGATGTTTTCTTTTTTTTTCTCTTTCCCCATAAAAGGACTCTTGACTATTATGCCTTGAGTGAAACCACAAACTCATTTCATAGCAGTCACCATGCATCCATCAGGCTGCAGTGACCTCTGGCCATTGGATTGATTTTGGTCACTGCTTGGGATTTGAATTATTGATTTAGGAGAAAAGGGTTGTCTGTCCACTAACTGGTTGTCTGAGCCATAAAGATGCCACAGGTTGTTGGATTTACAGAAAACAAGCTGGTGAAATGATCAGATTTTGTATCAGAGGAGCCAGATTACAGAAATTTTCATTACACTGAGTGTTGCAGTGGAGCATGTAGCTCCTGATGGAATGTGTGCTTGCTCCTTGAAGTGAAGTGGCAGATTGTCTCATTGAGCCAGGAGATCATGGAGTGTTGCCTTTCCTCCTATATTAAAGCATTTATGAGGAGTACTATTGATTTTTAATCCATTGAAAAATACTTGTTCCTTTACTATTGATTTTTTTGGCTTCTCTCTAAGTATATGGTTTGAATTAAAACCATGAGATGTAAGAGACAGACTCTGAGTGCACAGCAAAAGATTTTCAGCTGGAAAAAGTGCAGAATCCAAGGTACTGCACTCAGTGCATCTCCTGAATCACCCAGCAAACAAAAGGAACAGTTTTCATATTCTCTTACTGAAGCTACTCAGCTGTTGTTAGCTTGAAGTTATTTTATGGAAAGATGGAATCCATGTTCCTTGCTGGTTTTAATTTTGCCCCACAAGAGTGCACTGTTCTCCATTATCTTCAGTCAAGGCAGCAAAGCTCTGCTTACTGCACGTAGCAGGGAATTCGTGTGGAGATGGAGAAGGAAGAATACTCTAAATTAAAGTCCAGAAGCAGTGTGTTTCCTTGCAAGACTTTCAGGAGCCTCACAAATGCAAAGTTTGTAAATTTGGGCTGTGTGCGATATATGAATCTAGAAAAGGAGTTCCTAGGATCATGCCATGTTTTACAGCTTGGTTGTTCTGACCTGTTTTTAGTCAGGATGCACAGCAGAATAAGAAGTAAATCAAAATTTGTCAAATATGGCCTCTGCAAACAGAGGAAAAATTTTGTAGGGTCAGATGTTTTAAAAGCCTCCCTGCTCCACTGCAGTGAGAATCACAGTTTATTCTGGGTTGGAAGGGACCCCAGGGATTGTGGAGCCCAACTCTCAAATTAATCCCCCCACAGGGATTGAAACTGGATTTGGCATTACCAGCACCCTGCTCAAACCAACTGAGCCAAGTGTTAGAGGATTCCTGCAAACTTTTTACATTAAAACTTGCACTCAGGCTGTAATAACACCTTTTTTTTGGGCACCATAACTCAGTTAATGTAGTCTGGAGCACATAGGGCATTATAGTTAACATTTCCTCTTAGCAGTTGCTTGAGATGCCATCAGGAAGAGACAGGAAGGGAAGAACAGATGAAAATCAGGCCACAGAGGGCTGGGAGCACCCAAAATGAGTTTGTGGCATCACTTTACACTGCTATCACCCTCAGCACATGGTAGCTTTCACATTCAGAGTGCTCTGAGGCAACTTCTTCAGGAACACTTCTCCCCAAAACCAGAAAGGCATTTCCTGCCTCTTACTGAGTCAATGCCTTGTTTGAGTGAATGACTTGGTCTCTTCCTGCCCTTGTCCTTTGCAAGGCAAGTGTGGATGAAATTATATAAAAAAAGACAGGGATTTGAGAAGAAGGGATTCATTTAACTGCCCTGGAGTGTGACGTAAGTAATGAGACCTTCAAGTCAGGCAGGCAGTCTCAACATTCTGAAGTGCTCCAAGCAGTTTTTCACAGCTTTAGCCAGAAGTCTCTGAGAAGAGAGGGCTTTCAGAGCTTACATAGCTTTGAAAACATACACAAATGCAATAAGGAAATATTCTTATCCAAAAGAACCTCAAGAAAAACACAAGGGATTTTCATGGGAGGCTAAGCATAAGAAAATTGAGGTCAGAAGCCACTTTTTCAGACTTTTCTTTACAGTAATTTTTTTCTTTTAAAATAACTCACTTATTTTTATGGATTCAGTTCAACAAACCACTTCAGAAGTTTAAATCCAACTGGGCAGTAGGAGAATACTGAAGAAAGTACTTTATTGATTTGGGGTGGATTTGACTATGTGCTTTGTTGAACAATAAAGCAAGCATTTGCTTTTCTTCCAGAGAAGAAATATACTTGTAGCACAACATCTTGTTAATCAAATTATTCACAAAATTCAGGGGCTACCTGTCTGTAAACTTAGTGTGAAGGTTTGCAGTGTCCCAATGAATGTGGCTGATGTTCTCAAGGTTTATGAAATGTTGAACTTTGGTGCCTCTCCAAATCTGAGGGTGTTCTCTGCGCAGATTTAAAATGCAGCAAACTGGAGGGAGTAGCTGATTTCACAGAATCTTCATTTACTGTTCCCCTGAGTCTAAATGCACAGCAAACACCATCCTCTAATGTACTAAATAACCTCTTTTAAAAGAAATTAAAATATCCTGAAGAGAGATCTTTGTGCCATGAACAGCCCTCCTAAATAATCCCTATCAGCTTCCCACATGTAAATAGACATACCAGTCAGCAGGGCAGGTTGTTCAATCTTTATGTGTGGGGTGTAATTAAAAATAAACACGTCAGGAAGGCTTTGTATGAAAAGTCATCATCCTCACATCTTACAGTCAGTGCCAGGTTTTCCACTCAAGCACAAGCCCTTGTTTCTCCTAAGCAGTGTCTGGTGAAACCCAGTCCATTTCTTACTGGGGTCATGTAATAATAATAATTTGCAGGAAAAATTGTGGTGTAACTGCATGGGTCACTATGGTGTTGACCAGATAAATGTATTTAGCATCCATGCTGCCCTAGAGATAAAAAATCATAGGTTAATGTAGTTGGGCTGCCTGGGGAGCTCTTTCCAATGAAATCATTTTCCAAGAAAGTGAACCTGCTTTATATCCATAGACAACTAGGAAGGGCCCATCTTTTATTCTCTTGCAGCATCTGCTGGCCTTGAGGTACTTTTGGAATCTGATTAATCACTCAAGCTCTGGATCATTCAGCCACGGCTGAATGGGACTGTGTTGATGGACATTACCCACAACCTTTTCCTTCCCAGAAGTTAAACAAATATCAGATACACAATTCCAGCTTTAAAATGAAGGATTGATTGCTGGGCTGCTGGCTGAAATCATAGCTAAAGTCTCCATTGACAGTAACTGTAAAATAGTTCTAAGAGCTTAGCTTGTTATAGCTTTTTGGACCATTAAAACATCAAGAAAATGGGGCTGGAAGCAGGGTGCTACAAGATTTATTTCAAGCATTTTTCCCCCTTTCTTCTGTTTTCAAGATGTGCTTTGGTCTTCCTATTTTGTGGTGCTCTGACAGTATTGAGCTGGGGTTAGTGTTTGAACTCCTGGTAAAGTATAATGGTCATTTGGGCTTGCAGAAGTGGAATGCTTTTAATTAGGTCTGAAAAGAACTCAACTCCTTTTAGTTACTAGTAACAGCTTTTAAAATTTGTTTTTTGAGCCGCTGCCTGTCTTGGCAGCCTGAAATACAAACAGTGTTAGAATCAAAGGATGTAATGTCAGTGCTTTTTAGCAATATATATGTACATAAAAATGGATCTTCCTTTGACTGGTTATTACCTTGATAGTACAGTTCTATGCCTAGAGGATGAAGCAGCTGGTGGTAAGATATGGTGACATTAATGTCTATGTTGTTGACTCAAATCTAGCCTGGGTTAGCAACAGAGAAAGGTCATTGCCCTACCACACATTTATTCAGGTGTTTTTTTATTAACTCGGCTGTCTAAAAAATAAAAATATTCAGAAAAGAAAAGCTGAAAAGGGGCATTAAAATCAGTTGCTGCTCAAATAATAATATATTGAAACTTCCTTATGTGATCTGTGTAAAAATTATTCAACAGAAAAAAATTTTCAAGTGAGGTGTCTTCTTCCAACAGTTTTCTATATATTTAATACTTCCTCTTCTGAATTCCAAGATGATTTTCCTTGTGCTCTGCTCTTGCATGTTGCAAAAGGGTAAATCAGTATACACCATATTCCAGGGGCTTTTTTGAGTGCTGATTGTTCTTCCTTGAATCCCTACGGAATAACCACATTTCAGCTTTCATCACTTTTCCACTCTCTTTTTTTAGGAGAATTTGGAGAAGTATGCAGTGGACGCCTGAAGCTGCCTTCTAAAAAGGAGATTTCAGTGGCCATCAAAACCCTGAAAGTTGGCTACACAGAGAAGCAGAGGAGGGACTTCCTGGGAGAAGCCAGCATCATGGGCCAGTTTGACCACCCCAACATCATCCGGCTGGAGGGAGTCGTCACTAAAAGTAAGCAATTCCAGCCTGAATAATTCTCTGATTTGCTGATCAGTCAAAGGAGAGAAAAAGTGAATTATGAATGAAGTCAGCCAGGTTTATGCTCTGCAAAAAGCTCAATAATAAATTGGCAGGTGTAATAAACTCCAGAGTTAGGAATTGCTCCAAAAGGACCAGGAGGCACTGTGGTGATGATCTGGTGAGGAGTTGTGGAGAGCGATGAGGCTTCTTAATTGCACTGAACTTCACTGTGTTCTGCTTTCAGCGAAGCCATTAGATTTGTCATTAGCACTAATTAATGAACAGCCTATCTGGTACAGCAACAGGTTCTAGTGAATCATTAAATAAGGCCAAACTTTTTTACTAGATGGTTTTCATGCAGGGGAAATAATCCATAGGATATTGAATATGTACCAGCACAAGGCATGTTAAAGCTCCAGAATTGCAAAATTCAAACATCTTGGTAAAAATCTCAAAGAAGGAAGAAGTCTTGAGGATTTAATCTGTCAGTAGTAAAATTAATTTTATCTTTGTCCTTATATATATATTTACTCAAATGCCTTTTCTAAATCTGCTTTTTGGTGCTTATGTTATGTGTTTGCTTGGGATTTTTTTTTTTTTTTTTGTTAAAGCATATTCTTCATTCTTGTTTATGATAACAAATCACCTTCTCTTTTTGAGATCAAAAAAATTTAACTGAAACCTCCATGTACATGTGGTACCTTCTTGGAAAAGTAATATATTTCAACAACCCTCTTTAGCCACATTTTCTATATATCCACTGCAGAGTGAAGAGATACATTCAGTAATCAAATTTATCTACCTACATTAGTTATTAAGTGGGAGATCAATAAAATTTTATATGGCACAATCTTAAAAAAAAAAAAAAAAAAAAAAAAAGGAGTGCCCCAAGATTTTTCATGGGAGCAGAAAAAATTGGTGGGATATTTTCTTGTTCATCCCAGAGGACCCTGCTGGCAAAGCACCTCTTTGCCATTTCTGCGATCAGCTTGGAATTTGCTGAGGATGTTTCTAGTTTAACTGACTAGAATCATGCCAAACTCTTTGGGTTTAAGTAGATGGTTTTATTAGTTTGAAGAAAATTTTGGTTTTTTAATTGTGTGATTCAAAGTTTCACAAGGATAGGCATGAAAAAATTTCATAGCGTACTGCTGAAAAGTATAAGAAATGAAAACCCCACTAGAATATGTCTAAAAGTCACTAATGAAAGGTATGTAAAACACTACATGTTATGAAGAGTCACAATTATAATAATAATAATGCCTTCTCTATGTGTGAGTCATGAAATTCTATTTTGCTGATTTCAATAACAAAGAAATTATTGTTTATCTTAGGTCTCACAGTCCTATTAGGAAAGGTCTGCCTGCATAAATTGAGGTTTATCTCCTGCTTTGTAGTGACACACATTTTGTACAGTCAGACTAAGATTTGCAGTCACAAAATCACTTGAAACGCCAGCATCAGCCTGCACACAGCTGAGCTAAAATCTCTTTTGTTACATTTTGTATTCCTGGAGCACTTGAGACAATAACTTAATTGCTGTACAGGCAGGAATTTGTGCATTGCTCTTGAATGTGCATTACTAATTCTCTCTGTACTCTGTGTGAGTGACTTTTAGTGAGTTTGGCACTCAGGTGCATTCACAGCACTGCTGTCTGGTTTGGGGGGCAGGGGAAGGAGATCAGGAGTGCCAGCTGCCCATCACATCCATGTGTGAGAGAGCAAACTCTGAATATTCCCTGCTGAAGCCAATAAAACCTCAGGGGTACAACACCCTCTGCAGATAGCTCCAGAACAGGAGCTGAGAAATCTGCTCTGGAGCTGCTTTTTACTGGGCAAAAGTATTTGGCACAAACTAAATATAACAATAAATATAATTATTTGTTCTATTGGACATTCTGCAGGGTGATGGAAGAACAAGCTTGGGAGTTTGGAGGGTTTTTTTGTTTGTTTTTTTTTTTTAACAAATCAATCACTATATCAGGCTTCCAGCCTTGCCTCCAGCACAGAATTGTTCCTCTGCTCCTTGTGGATTTCTGCATTTCCCAGCTGCTGCCCTGCACCCCTGGGCACACTGTAGGCAGCAGTCTTAATAACCAGCACACATGTTCTGCTTAGTTTACTAATAATTTACAGCAATTTGCAGCCTGCTATTCTAATAAACCTGGGCAATGCTGTTGACACAACTTGTTATCATTTATAAACGGCTGAGCTTTGATAAATGGATGCAGAGGGTTCTTTTAAAACTTCAGAGCATGTGATTCTTATTATGGGCACATTTCCAACTGAATGAGGTTGAAACCCTGCACTTAGATTTTTAGAGTGTGGGTGAGCAAGGCAGGAAGATGCTCCTGTAATTATTTGGAAGATATATTTCTTACTCTAATTTAAGTTCTTCTGATAAAGTCTCGTAAAATTGCCTGAGTTTGTACAGAAACCAGGCACCTGTCTCCTGGCTTCAAAGTGCAGGGCAAAGTAAATCAATTTATCATAGAAAGTTTTGGTAGCCCTGTACTTGAAAGGTCCAGCAGCATATTCTGGGTGTTACCAGAAATCCCTTTGAATTCATGTTACACACAGAGTGCAAGTTAAGTGCTTTTTCTTTTCTTTCTAGGCAAGCAAGACTAAATATAAATAGATTTTTTTTGTTTGAGCTTTTACATTGCTAGATCTCTTATCTGTATCATCTCTCATATCATTGAAGATTAATATTTTGCATACAGTATTTCCTACTGGTGAATGGATGAGAGTCAATTAATTAGTCATTAGTGTGACTCCCACAGTATAACACATCATTTGTACCACAGAAAGAAGATATTTGAACCCATTAATTCATAATGTTCTTGTGTTAAATTCATTCTTTGAAATGACTATTTCTCTTCTAGGATTTCTATTTGGTAGAAGCTGTACTTTTTGAAAAGCAAACAGAAAAAAAGTTGTTACCATTGACTTAGCTTTTTTGATGGCTTTCTTCTTCTTAATTAAGCTGGGTACCTTTTTCAAGCCTCATGCTGTTCAGTTTTAAAAGCTAAAATTTCACCATGCCCATATACAATATGCAGGCCTTTTGTCCTACTTTTATGGTCAGATGCCTTCCTGTGTTTTATGTGCAATAATAATTCATCTCCTTAAATAACTTCATGGTCTTACCCAGCCTTCTCTCCACCACAAAGAGAAAATAAGCAAAGCATTAGTAAATATTATGAAATAATAAAATCCATATGATGGTAAAATTAGCAGGGCAATGACCTTGGTCTGAAAACTTCCCTGTCATCGCATGATTTTTTGCATTACTTTCTCTCCAGCTTGTCAGAGCTGCATAGAAAATCTTGGTTATGTCACAAAATGCCCTAGGGTGGAGGGAATGGTTTCAAAAACTGGTCTGAATGTATCTGGATGAGTTTTGGGGGAACAAAAAAGGCTTTTCAAGGGCTGTTTTCTTAGAGTTTGCCAATGCATGTTCAGGTCCCAGCTATGTCCAAGGGATCAGGGATTTTTTGTGGTCAGGGATCCCAGCACAGAGAAAAGGAGTTCCTGGAAGGAATGCCCATCCTACAGCTCTGCTTCTCTTTCCTGTGCCCTGTGTTTTACTGTGCACTTTCCTTTCCACCTGCATCTGCACCCAGCGTCAGTTTGCCCACACATCTTCTGCTTCTTTTCTAAATGTAAAGGAATAATGTAAAAATTATCCTTGGGGTTAGGAAGATTTGGACACAATCCTGAAATGTTTGGGTTTGCTGATGATGTTCTAATGTGTTTCTTTGAAAAGCCTGACCTCTGTGCTCTATTTCCAGGTAAACCAGTTATGATTGTTACTGAATATATGGAAAATGGTTCCTTGGACAGCTTCCTACGAGTAAGTGCAACAGGAAACTAAATGGGGCAGAAGTGGCTCTTGTTCTGGACCTGTTAGGGGTCTGCTGCCACTCTGCACTGATTCATCAGCAGCTCTTGTTGCTTGATATTTTTTTATTTTCATTTGGGTTTGTGAGTATCATGATGTGCTCAGAAAGCCACTTAGGGATCTGCTGGTCCATTTGCAGTAAGCATTATTCCAAAATGAAGGCAATTTTGGTTGCATTAATGTGTCATATCTATTAAAAATGAAGAAAACAAAGCAACATTCTGGCACACAAAAAATGAGAACTGTTTTTCTGGAGGCTGAATTATGACTGTTGTGCAATTATGCTTATTGGTTGGCAGTCTCTTTGTCTAAGCAAGAGATTTTCAAAATTAATAGATTTGTGGAAATTTTATCAGTAATGAAAAGTTGAGAGAATAGCCCCATACCTGAGGATGTTAGAAATGTTTAACTAGCAACGTTTACTGGCCTGTTTTCTTTTTCCAACCTTAGACACACTAATGCTGTCACTGATTTATCTTTGTTTTCTGTCAAAGTTGGTAGCGAGCCTAAAAAAATTCAAACGCTCCCTGTGTCACCAAGATTTACTTGTGGCAAAACAAGGAGTGCAGGAGAAGTGAAATCCCATCTGAGGGGAAACACTGGTTTAATTTTAATTTGTTAGGGCAAATTCAGCTTTGGCTGGGAGACTGCTTTGGTTCTGCCACGGCTGAATGACATTATCCCCCAAATTCATAACATTGAACTAGACATTTAACCCCAGAAGGGGATAGATTGTCAACCTTAGTTTCTCTATGTACTATATATGTTATGGTGTCCACTGGAGCATGTAAAATACATATAAATAATGTGTCAGTATAGCTGAATGAAATATCTCTGTACTGAACTATATATATTTTGTTTAGACTTGAAATCCTTGAAGAGAGCCCTGAGGAAGGGAGAATAATTTCTGACTGCACAGAACAGTTGTTCAGCTTGTTCTTTCATTTTACTGTGATTTTTTTTTTTTACTACTGTTATGTGGAAGCATAGATAAGAACCTTGTGACTCATTAATATCACAGGCAACTCAGGCCCTATAACCTTTTTATAAATGCCTTTTGGAACTACTTAGTTTTCTTTCCTCATTGCCATTGAGAGGCTCTCTGAGCATCTGATTCTGTTCATGGTTAGAAACCTTCTGGTTTTTAGCTAAATCTTTTCCAGAGTCTATATAAAATTCTCTTGTGTTGGCTCAGATAAAAAAGGGACAGACAACTGCTTAGAATCTTTTAAAATATTAATTTCTTCATGAAGGGGAGTTCTGAGAGACTGTTTAAGTATCCACTGTGTCATATATTTGCCTAATGTTTCCAGTGCTAATATTACCCCCAAGTACACTAACTAAAAAGGAAAAATGGATGCAATCAGTCTGGCAAACTGATTCATGTCAGATCACCTCATGTGACAGAGCCAGCTCCCTTGTATTTAATAAAATTCCAGAAGCAGCAGCACGAGGAGCTGGAGAGCTGCCCATGAGGTTACATTTACAGCACTGGGGAATTCATCTGAGAGCTGCACTACAGCAAATGCTGTCCTATTGTCTATGTATCCATATATCAACATCAAAAGTAGATGTTAGCAAACAGGATTAGTAAGAGTTGGGAGATTTGAATTATGCCCAGAAGTAGATGATTTGAAATATATCCAAGCAATGTTTTCTAGGCTAAGTCATAATATGTTTCAGTAATTTTTGAATTTTTGAAATGAGTTTAAAACTAACAGAATTTGAAAGCCGCTGACTCAGATCAGCATTTGCTTTTGTTAAATGAATTCCTGTGTAATATCAAACTTTCATTAGGCCATTGGGGAAGGCTTGGATTTTCACTAGAAAATCCTGTGGTCTTGCAGGGAAGTTGGACATCTGTTTCTGTAATGTTCTGACACTCCAGTCTCAGGAGCACACACGACTTAGATTTATGTGCTGCTTTCACACGTGCCCCATCTAGGAAATTAAAACTCTGATGACAGCAAGAAGAGGAAAAATGAATTTTTATCTGAATTGCAAATCTGTCCCCTTCCCTCAGCTGATTGGGAGACCAACATGTGGCATTTAAATCACAACGCCTGACTCACGAGCTCTTCATCTGAGGAGCTTCCAGGCTATTTATGAAACAATCTGTGCAAGAAGGAGCATGAGCAATCCCTGAGATGACATTTCAATGTTTTCCAGAAGCATGATGCCCAGTTCACAGTCATCCAGCTGGTGGGCATGCTTCGAGGGATCGCATCTGGCATGAAGTACCTGTCGGATATGGGCTACGTCCATCGGGATTTGGCTGCTCGTAACATCCTCATCAACAGCAACCTGGTCTGCAAAGTCTCAGATTTTGGTCTCTCTCGTGTGCTGGAGGATGACCCAGAAGCTGCTTACACCACAAGGGTGAGTTCCTGTGTTCCTTTACCTTTTTTAAATTCTTGTTGGTTGTGGCAAAGACTCAGATTTGATGGAAATCTGAAATCTGAGGCTGTGTTGCAGAGGGCAGTCAGTCTGTCTGCCCAGAGATGCTCAATAAACCAGGAGCTCATCACAATTATTTTTAAATTCATGTCTGGAGAAAATAGAAAATGTACATGCAAAAAGTATGGCTTCTGTTGGTGGATTACTTTCCTTAGACTATTCAAAATTCTTGGCTCTGTTTCTTTCTCCTGGCTGTGTAAAGGAGTGAATATTACAATTAAAGCCTGAGTTCTTTTGGCACACAATAATTTAAGCCTTCATGTGTGCTTTGAGAAGTTTTAGTTACACTGCTGATTTAGCTCCCACACAGTAAAAAAATATCCTACCTACCCATTGAATTTTTTTGTGCTTTCTAGCATTATAAAACAAATTTCTGACTGGGGCATACTGCAATCACTGTTCTTCAAGGGTGTGTCATTATACTTGCTCTTGTACTCCTAACTGAGTAAAACAAAAAAATGCACATCTGATTATGACCTTGAATAACACTTCCCTTTTTTTATGGAAGCCTTTAGCTTTATGTATATAGGTGTACTGTACTTGGATATCTGGTTGTTCATTTTAATGCTATTTAAAGTGGATTTTGTAGACTTTACAAAAAGTGACATTAACATCCAGTATCTTAGTCAAGTGTAATTTGCATTGCTCACAGTGATCACCTCATCTTCACTGTACAAACCAGATTACAATGTATCAGCATGACCTTAATGGGGGTTTTCTGAGGTTTCTTTCATTCCTGAACACTGACAGGAGCAATCAATAATTTTAGTAGTTTACATGCTGCCTTCTTCATGATTGAAATAAAATAACATGAGAAATGAGTAAAGAAATGACAGATTTCTTACACATTATATACTCATACATTAATAGATACATTTATCATACCTTCATAACATAGCAGGCACAAAGACACTATTCTTTACTCGATCTTTCAGTGTTTTCTTTGCCCTCTGATAAACTTTGCCATGGAGTTAGAAATATGCAATATATAGCACTTTAGAAAACTGTCTGCAGAGATCTGGCATGGTGAATACGGAGAGACATTAGCAGGAGAAAGCAGTGTTCATTCTCAGTAGTGTTACAGCTCTAATAAATAAATATTATAAATATAGTATTATTAATAATAATAGTAATTATTATTATAAATAAATAGGTGTATTGCTGTGTCAGATACTTGTTTGCTCTCTTAAAATCAAGTTGAAAATGAAGCATTGGATGAAGCTGTCACATCAGTGACGTGTCTGTAGGTGGCTTGGACAAATCAGGCTGCACAAGTTGTCAGTGTTTTCAGCCTGTGTTCTGTGTGAATTTCCTCTTCCTCTCCCCCTGCCACCTATTTTCTGAGTCTACCTGCTTATTTGCAATTAGATAGTGAAATCAGATGGAAAGAAACTATTTTGTGAAGTGTAATCATCTGTGTTCTGTAAACTCCATCTGGCGTTTATGGTGTGTGTGCAAACTGCTGCAGCAAAAAGCTCAGGTAATTAAAACCTTCAAATACAACTTAGGACAAATCTAATTTATTTTTTCAAGAGTTGTTGCTGTGAATATACCTGTGCCACATGTTGGCTCTGAGAGAAGAACAAGGCTATTTGATATTCATCTTTTTTGCTCACATTTCCCTTTGAAGTGAGTCTTATGTTGATGTCAGGGGAGTGTTTCCAGGTGGGATGTTTGATCCCCAACTGAAAAAATGGGGATCACAGATGTGAAACAGAGTTTCACTCCACTGGCAGAGAGATGAACAGTTTGTGTTCCTGCTGCTTGGATATTTCACAAAACACAGGACCATTTCCTAGGCTTAGCACATTTTTCAACCACTAATTATAGGACAAAAATAGTGCCACTTTTTAAAAATAATGGTATCATCTCAAATTATTTCATGCCTAATAATAAAATTGTCCCAAAACAAATGTCTTTAAAACTAAAGGATGACAACAAGATATTTAAAAAAGCAACAAAAAAAAAATCTAAATTATAACTCAAATTTCAAACATTACAGAGTGTGTATTATATTGATGTCCCCCTGTCCTCCAGTTCTTCCTACTCCCAGTTGTCCATTTAGTATCAGTGGTGCTAGGAAATTTATAAAGTTAGCTGCAAAGATGGATGCTTTATCTATTTAGGCTCCTTATCTACCCCTATTTTCCACCTGTAAATGTCAAAGCCTGAGAATGATTTCACTGCTTTAATTCATAATTGCAAGTCAGGATTGATCTACCCCCAAGAAGCCCAGACAGGCTTTCAATACTCAGCACTGCCTGGGTGAAATTTTATCTTGTGCTGTTCTCAGAAGCCATGTCTGAAGCTTTGCATTAAGGCTATGAACATGTATTCTTTTATACATCAATAATTTATGTATTCCTTTATATATCAATGCACAATCTGTGATATTCATGCTATTGTACCAGAAGCCTGAAGGACAATGCAAAGATCACAAGTGCACATGTGAATTACAGGGAATCAGGAGTTGTAAGGAACTTTTCTAACTGAGAGGGTCATTTTTTTACCTCCTGAATTATTGTCACTGCCTTGATACCACAAAAGGCCTTTGGCAGCCTGGGGTCTGCCTGCTTACCGAAGCAGAAGCCAGCATGTGAACCAGGCTGACTGTTTGGATTTTTTAATTTTTTCACAGAGTCTTTGTGCCTGAGGGGATGTGCTGTAATTATCCACATTCTCCATATCTATTCACTTTTAATTGAAACACTGAGATTGTATTAAAATTGTCATTTCAAATGGATATGGTTTATCCTTATTATTTTTCAGATGTCTGTATGACAAATGGGTGGACTAATGACACACTATGAAGTGGAAGTGAATTTAAGCAATCACAGTTGCAGAGGGACTGTAATTATGTCTCTCAAAGACAATATTTGGGTAATCTGTAGATGAACTTTGACTATTTAGGCACAGAGATACATCACCAGTATTCATGGCATTTTAATGTAAATGCAGCCTGTGCTGGACAGAAATCAGTTGTTTTCCCTAAATACGCAAAATCACAGTGATACAGTCTGAATGTATTGAAGGGTGTGGTAAAAAGGAACCAAAATCCCAAAAATTCTCTTTCTCCAAAGCACAGAATAGATGAGCAGTGCTCTGTCATCACTGACTACTCAAGGAGGAGATGATTTCAATATAAAACATGCATTAGTAAGGGACTGACAAGCAGAATCAGATAATGTCAGGCATGTAAAACGGTAAAAACTGGCTCATCTCACTCACATGAATCTCTCTTGTTCTGTGCCATTAAGATATCTCCTGGCCTCTCCTAAGTCCTGGTATAATGAATGAATGTCAGGCTTTTACTTTCAGCTCTTTCTGCAAACTCCTTCTAGTAATTCAGTTAGAATCCATTTTTCTTGATTCACTCCTCCCCAGGCCTGTGGCTTAGGTGCCTGTGGCTGTCACCCTGTAACAGATTATAAATCAGAATATTGGAATGGGTTCTGAAGCCCTGGAAACAGCTGCCTTGTGCTGGAGTGCCAGACGTGCTCGAAATAAATTGAGGACTTCATTGACTTTAGATAAATTACGTTGGAGAGACAGATACTGCAGGAATAGCAGCTCCATCTACAGAAGATAAAACTTTTGGTTACTGCTGGCTCTCTGATTTCCAACCCTGAGAGAGGTTCTCTGACCCAGAGTGCCTGGGATTTTGAGCTGAAGTAACAAACTCCTACAATTTCTAACACCAAAACTGTCTTTCTACTCAAATTTAGGGAGCTGAGCTTGATGACGAGCATGTCCTTAAAGGCAGACCATGACAAAAATATATAAAAACTGTACTTATCTTCAGAAAATAATCAGTAAATATATTGCTGTTCTTGTTCTTAAATTATTCCAAAAAAAGTCAGCAAAATCTCTTTTTAAAAATAATTATGACATTTATATGACAAATTGGGGAGCAGAAGAGCAAAATTACACTTTTAGACTCTGTTCACTGGCAGTTGATTTCTTTTTTTAACTACATTTTAATTAATATTTTTGAGTTATTTATGGCAATGCTGTGTGGATCTGCAGGTTTGTATAGGATTACAGCTGAGACTTAGCAAAGAGAATTTGAAAGTCACTGACTCACACTCATTGCAAGACGGATCTGGGGTAGATGCACCTTCTTTTTTCAGTAAAGCAAAGCCAGAAATTGTTTCATTGAGTTTTTAATCTTTCTGCAATAAAGCAGTCCCAAATGTTAGGAGACTAATTAATGCTGCTTTTTTTTTTTTTAAATGTTTCTCTAATTTCATAGATAACTTTTTACATAAGATTATAAAGACCTTCTGTCCAATATGAAATTCCTGCCCCTGCCTATTGGGAGATGTCCAATCCTCTTCATGGTGGTGGGGTCTTTGTTGATGTAAATTTAGGATGTGGCTTTCCCCCAGGATTTATGTTCTTTATTGAAAACCAGGGCTCACTTCTAGCATAGAAAACAGAGAGATTGATTTCTTTATCAGCCTCACATCTAAAACTGTAAGTGGATTTCTTGTGAAAACACGAGGCTACAGGAGAGCTTTCCTTGTTTCTTGGCTGGGCCTTGGGCTTGCTGAGGGCCCCTGGACACTTGTAAAGGGAGCTTATTAATTGAGTATGAGAAAAACAAAGTCATTTTTATGTTCTTGGTACTGTTCTGGAGCAGCACTGGGAATTGTGAATAAAGTTATAAAGCATGGAAAATACAATGTACTTTTTGTGACTAAAGACCATCATCCAATAGATTAATTTCCGAGAGAGAGAGAGAGAGAGATCAAGCTCTTCATCTGGCTTCAGTGATAAAACAGTGGTTTCAAACACTCCAGTTTATCTTCTGTGTCCTCTTTTTCCTGTGTAAATTTGGTGATCACCTGATTTTAAGGGTTGTGTGGGAAATGAAGATTTCTCTTTTGGTAGGGAGCTCTGCTAAACAGAATGGTATCCATGAAAACCATATGCCAAGACAATCCCCTCCCTGACTTTCGCCAAGCCTCTAAGGCTTATCCAGTGACATTTTGGAGGCCTAAATCGTAGTCTGAGTCAGGACTGCCTGTGTTGTTTGTACTTAATTTAATTTATGCAATATTAGCCATGAAAATGAAGATGGTTCAGTGTAGTTAGACTGTATTTAGGTTTCTCATTAACACTAATGCCTGCATTTCTATTGTTAATCAAGCCAGTGATTCTAAAGCTGGTGATTGCACAGCTACCCTCAGTGCAGGTACAGTTCATGGGAGCGTAGGCAAAGCAGTAAAATATTTAAATCTCTTTTTTTCTTGCTGGTTACTCAGTGGAAGTAAGAGCACTCTCTCCCCACAGAGGTGGTTGTGAGGAGAGGTGTGTGACTGGAATATAATGGAGGTGTCAGAAGCACTGCAAAGAGCTGGTCTGGTGTGAAATCTTCAGAATATATTCTGTACACGTTATGCATAACTGGAAATAACTTTAAACTCTCACAGTTTTCTGTACAAACACATTCACTCCAGAATTGCCTTCAGGAACAAGTTCTGCACTGCTATCATTTAGAACTTCATTTTCCCATGTGTGACTCTCAAAAAACTCTGTCAAAGCTGGCATCACCAGGAATTGTCTTTCCTCTAATTCTCACATTTTAGAAACTCAGCCTGAGATTTCTTATGTGCATTTTATTAACTTGACCTACAGCACCAAGTGGTGGCCATGACCAGAGAGAGATGTTCCCCTACCTACCATGTTAATTGTACTGGAAGCTTCAATTCTCTTCAAGCTTGGCATTTAATGGTGGCTTGCTTCTCTTGTGACTGTAAAAAATGTCCAAAGTCACTCTCCCAGCTGACATTTTTTCACTCTTCCCACTGCACAAGTGACTCCATCTGAATCTGACTTTCTGTCTCAGTTGGAGGCTTGGCTTTAGTGAAGTGAAGCAACATCATGGCCCCTTATTTTCTTGAATGTCCCAGAAAACCTGGTGAAGCCATGCAGGGAATTCACTTCAATGCCTTTAAATTAGCCAAATCCAGCTCTCCTGGGCTGTGCAAAAGAACCTGGGTTATAAGCAAGGACCTTGGAGTGGTTTTTTCACCTTTAATGATGTATGTGGCAGTTTCCAACATTTCATAACTGAAAATCAACCAGACTTGGTTTACCATTTACTTTTATCTGTGTGAATTATGCTACACACTCATACATACGTGTATATATTATATATATATATATATATATATATATATGAAATATGTATATATATGTGTGTCTATAAAGTATGTATGCTGTAATGTACTATAAATCTTTATTGTAGATAGATAAATCTATGGTAAATCTAGATATCAGTAGATTTTGCACTGAAATGTATTTTACTCTCTCTTTTGCTCTTATAACAAATGGCAGCAGCATTTTCCAGCTTGCACTAGTTTTTCTTACACCAATATCACGATTACTGAGAATCTCAGAGATAAAATAATCAACCACATGAAATCATATTTGTGGCAGGACAGTCAAATGGACTCTCTGGTTTTGTTTTGCTCCTAGGGGGGCAAGATTCCCATCCGATGGACATCTCCAGAGGCCATCGCCTATCGGAAGTTCACGTCAGCCAGCGACGCCTGGAGCTATGGGATTGTCCTCTGGGAGGTGATGTCTTATGGGGAGAGACCCTACTGGGAGATGTCCAACCAGGATGTGAGTAAATTGTTGGCTTTTTGTGTTCTCACAGAAGGGATCAAGCTGTGAAAGGAGGCCAAGAGCAGGTGGCTCTGAGTTTTTGATGGTGACATGCAGTAAGGTGTGGAGATGAAAACCACCGGATCTCCCTGGTCAAGTAAAAGTTCATTAGAATTTTAAAAACCCGCCATCTTTATAGCAGAGTGTTTTGGACCTCTGAAGGAGCAGAGTAGAGAATTTTGTCCCATTGGTGGTTTTCTGTAAGATGATGCAAATAATTCCACTGCAATGAGGTCATTGCCTTTTACATTCCTTGGCTTGTTGTTAGAAAACCCTCCTAAATTTCTGTTGATCCCCTTTTGGTTCCACTTGTATAATATCCTATAGAAGTTTTCTGCAAATGTCAAATGCACAGAATAAATTGCTCTTGGCACTTGTGAAAAAGAGAAGCAAAGCATTTCTGCTAAGAGTTTAATGGAACCAAAATGCTTCTGGAAGTAATCAATGGATAAAATAGAGAAGGAGAGTGATCTGATTAGACTTCCAATACAGGTTTCTTTGTAACATTAGTAAACTGTCCAAGCCTGCAATCCAAATGATTAATGGAGCTCTCCCAGTATTTTTAAAAGAAGCATAACATTTCCCCAAAGAAGATTTTTTTATTATGTCTATTTTGAGTTCTTTTTCTGTTGTTTTATTAATTTTAGATTTATTCCACAGGAGTTTCTTATGGACAAAATTTTATGGAGTGCAATCACTCACACAAACAGATTTTCCAAGGAGATGATATATATTGTTACTAGTTCTAAGTTAAAATAAATAAGTCAGTTACATAGTTGTAGTCAAACATTTTTCTGTACTACTTTATGTTAAACAAGGAAAAAGAGAAGAAAACTTCCTTTTAAATGGGTACCCTTGCAACCCAAGTCTCTGCAGAAAATGATGCATTTCTTTTAATTGGTAATGATTGTTTTTGTGGAGATTAATGTATCCTGTTGTGCAGACTGATATATTAGTGGGATGTCTTTAATAATATCCCATTGAAATCTAAAATGGAAGGATTAACCTATTTATGTATCTCTCCTTCATGGCTGCTTAAAGCATTAACTGTGCTCTTGTCCTTGTTCTGATTTAGAGTAGTTTCTTCTGCTTTTCAATTAATTGATACAGATGAAAAGGAAAGATTAACAGAATATGGCTTTATCATTTTCTACATTGAATTTTCTACATTGGGTTTTTTTGTTTAGGGGGCAATAGATGCTGTAGGCCTGATCAAGAAGTGTTGGATTCTAGTGAAAAGGCTGGATTAAAAATCTTCTGGACAACATAAATTCTAAAGTAATCTTAGTTTTGCATGTGTCCATCTGGAAAAAATACAGAAAATCTAGACAAATTTTATTCGCCTAGGCAAATTATAAGGAATTGGGCTTGCACTGCCTAGTAGAAAATGTATAGCTGAGGTAAGTTTTAAAAGCATTTTGTGGCCCTGTGACATCATCCACAAGACCTTCTGTCTGTTGGTTGAGGATGGCAGTGAGGGGCATGTTGATTTTTCAGCAAGGTAGGCTGTTTTTCTTGTTGGTGTTTTGAGTTTTGCATCCACTGGAGGATGTGGAAAGGTTGTTTTTCTAAGTGTAATCAGAGGAGACATATCCAGGACCTTTTGAAGTTTTGTATACTTAAGCAAGCTCTTGCTAACTGTGGCTTTTGTTTATGGATTTATTTCAAGTGAGTGTGAGTTTCTGAGATCCTTTCCACACACTCACCTTCTTCAAAGTCACACACTGTATCTTAACTCCCCTTTCTGCATGCCTAATCGACTGCCTGGTTTACTTTGCAGATAAAGGAGAGACAATTAGTGAATAAACACGTTTGTTTAAACACACAGCGTCCACGTTAAGGTTCTCACAGCTGATAAAAACCCAAGTTGCTGTAAAGTGCCTTTAAGTTTGCACAAACTTTTCTCCTTGTGCAGGTGATTAAGGCTGTGGATGAAGGGTACCGCTTGCCACCTCCCATGGACTGCCCAGCTGCCTTGTATCAGCTGATGCTGGACTGCTGGCAGAAGGACAGAAACAACAGACCCAAGTTTGAGCAGATTGTCAGCATCCTGGATAAGCTGATCCGTAATCCCAGCAGTCTGAAAATAATCACCAACGCGGCGGCAAGGTGACACACTAGATCTTGCATTGCTCATGAACCTCTTTGATTCCTTCATCTCCTGTAATTAGAATTTGTTTGCACTCTTTACCACCTTCTCTCTTGAGAGAAGGATATAATATTATTATTATTATCATTATCATTACTGTGGTTATTTTATTATTTATTTGCTATTACTCATCCAATTTGTGAAAGATTTTTATGCTAAGGATATGAAACCTACTGTAAGACTGAGCAGAGTTTTTTTGAGAAAAACACAGCTGGCAGATTTGGCCATCGTGGGATTTTCCTTTTCCTTCTGCCCTTTGGTGGTGTTGTAAGTGCTTAGTGTTTCACAGGTTACAGACAGCCATGTTCCTAAGTATCTTTCTGAATTGGGTCCAAATACACTTAGGCTCTTCTCTGACAAGTCATGTTAACTTTAATCATCTGAGTAATCTCTCTTTTTTTTTTTTTCAGTAGTGCTCACAGACCTAAAAATGCACTTACACTCCCTCTTAGATCAATGTGTGAACTAGGAATTAATTTTCAACCTGTGCAATGTTCCTAATTGCATTTGAAACATTCATTTTTAATCCTGGGTTTTCAACACACTCTGGAACATCATCACTATGATGAGATAAGAATTATCTCATTGAGAGAGAGCAGCTGAAGAGTGTGTTGACACCTAAGGGCATAATGAAGACGTGGTGAAAGAAGAGCTTTAGTTAAGAAGTGTTAAAGAGACTCAGTTGTACAATGCACAAAATGTCATACTCTTACTGAAGGAGTGTAAAAGTATTTTTAGCATGAATGATAGTGCCAAATCCTCTGTCAGCAAAGCAGGCAGAGTCAGGGAGAAAAGCACTCTGCTCCTCTGCTGCTTCAGAGCCGGGCCCTGGAGGGTGTTCTGTGTGCCACTGGGCAAGAGACCAGAACCTGACACGAGGCAGGTTTCAAAAGGGAGCACAGAAAACCTTGCTGTCAGACCTCTCCTTGTGATGCAGCACCCTTCCCACCAGGGCAATTGGATGGGGAGGCTGAGGGAAATGGAGCAAAGGCAGAGGGAAGAGCTGCATTGATCCTGCAGCCTGCTGTGCGATGGCCATGGACCTCGCCTCCTCCTTCCTGGCCCAGGCTTTGTGCTGCATCCTCAGCCACACACTGGCCACTCTAATTGCCTCCTGCTGCCATGCCAGAGGGCAGAAAAAGAAGGGAAAACTGGGAGGAGAAAGGCAGGCATACTAATGGGCTCTGCTTTTAAATTTATATATTGAGAGAAGATGGCTCGCACAAAATTATATTTGAATAATTTTGCTTGGTGAGTGTTTAACATGTAGGAAACCAACATGCTTACAGAAGCAATTATTTCTAGGAGGTGGCAGAAAAAACCCAACCAAAAAAAAAACCCAAAAAAACACCACAACACATTTTTGGGAAAAATTCCAAACTGTTTAAACAGCATTTTTTCAGTCAAGTACATTTCTTCCAAAGACCTTGCACCACTATGTGGCAAATCATTGGTGCAAAGAATGATTTTCTAGGGATGTGCTGCAGCAATCTGATGACTAGGGGAGCTGGAAATCATAACTATCTTGTTTGGCTTTGGAGACCTGACTGCAGAAACTAGGGCTGCACGTTTTTCATTCCAAACAGAAGCAAAATGTTTGTGGTGTTGTTTGTGGTCCGTCTAGCTGCAGATTTGAACTGCAACAGGGATAAAAACAGTGTGGAACCCTAATTTCCCGTTACCTGTTCATAGCCAGTAGAAGCTGATATCCTCTAGAGGGGACCAAATTCAGGCTGAGCACTGTTTCCACCTGCTGGGTTCTGTGCAGGAGCTCCACAGGGGGATATTTATTGTTCCCTTTTGTCTCTCCTGTTCCATTCTGTGCTTTGTGGCACAGAGGGTGGCAGAGGCTGCACATCCCTAGCACAGTGCCATGCTCTCAGCTCATGGGGAGGCAAGGAGGGGAGGAAGGAGGCTGCCTGCATGGTAGGGAACCTCTCACAGCTGCTTTAGGAGAGCTCTCAGTGCAATGCTCCTCCTGCTGCTGCTTGGCTTTGATACTGAGTGGATTTCTGAGGAGGGCAGCGTCAAAGGTGATTTCATTCCTACTTTCCTTCCCAGTTACCCCTCCAGTGCCACATCCCTGCACATTGCTAGGCAGTGCAGTGTCTCTCCATCACTGCCTGGTGACACACAGGGCACTGTGGGGTCCCAGCATGGGAGTTCCCTCTGTGGAGGAGCTTCTTGCAGCTCAGGGAATGATCTGTCATCTCTCTGTCTCCTCTGTCAGTGTCTGCAGGCCAGCCCAGCCTATCCTTAAACACAGCCACAAATAAACACCAGTGGGGGGTGCTGGGCAGTCCTGTGCCATGAAATCATTGTCAAAGCAGACTAATCTCAAACCTTAGATAGGAGTGAAAATCTGCAGCCAGCTGCACAGCCCTGTGGTGTCCTGCACTGGTGGCAGGTGACAGCCCCTGGTGCTGGTGGCCAGGGACTGAGCCTGGAGGTTCAGCAGCGCTTTTTGACAGCCCGACAGAGAAAAATGAGACAGAAAAATGAGAAGTGAGGCTTAAAATGGGCTGGGGCCTTGCCATAGCCTTGTGTGCAGGAATGTGTAAGTGATACTGGAGGGCTGTGGGTCAGGGCAGCTCCTGGAGAAGGGGACACAGTGGGATCCCAGAGAGGGACAGATATCAGAGCAGGGGAAACACACAGGGACTCAGCCCTGAGGGCTCTGGAGAGTGCCTTGGCTCAAGTGGCTGCTCTCAGTTGTTATTTGAGGCCGCAGCACTCCCACACTGCCTCTCCTCCTACCCATAATAAGCAATTAATCTAAGTTATAGAGGTCCCAGCTCTCCTCTAGCTGTGTCTGTGGTGCTACTGGAGGAATGCTAAAGCTTCATGCCCTCCATATGCTTGTAGGTGTTCAGAATATCCTCGGTCAGGGGAAAAATGTTTAACCTGACGATGTCTGGTGCAGATGCAAAACCTGTCTCTTCTTACAGATTTTAGGGCTGATGTTTGTTTAAAGCAGTCACAGCACCGTTGTATCTGTTTAAAAAACATATTTCTGGAGGTGCATAGGATATCCCTGTCCTCTGGGTTGCTGTTAACTGACCTCCACTGGAGGATGTGCTTGGCTGAACATCTGATTCCAGGCCACAGCCCAGGCACGTTCTGCGCTAATACCTCACAGAAGAGGAGTCAAAGCCTTCAATTCCCTCCTCCCTTTAAAGTTTTCTATCCCTTCAGGCCACTCCATGGTATCTAATAATTTCTTTATTCCCAAGGGGATGTTTTTATCCTTATTGATCATGGTTTTGCAGACCGTTCTACGTGCCTTTGAACCTCACACTGACAAAAGGTTTTTGTAGCCTCAGCCCAGCAAACGTTTCATAATACCTTTCCTGGTGTTGTGTTTCATCTCAGGTTCATGTACAAATTCCGTTTCTATTCCTTGTAGCTGATTTCTTTCTTACCTGTCTAAATTCACTTTTTAATCAGGTGGCCACCCTGAGCTCTTGCTAATAAGACCTGCACTGGTTTTGGACACGTGGGGTTTTTGTGTCCCTTAGGCAGCTCTGTAAGGGGCTGCAGGAACAGAACTCAGTGCAACCCATGTGGTTTTCTAAAGCACAGTCTCATGATATTTTTATTTGATTTATGTCTTGCTGTTCTTTCCTGTTTTCTGAACACAATGTTCATTTTTCTAACAGAGTCCTTTGGTTGTTTGGATATCTTTAGGGTGGGAGTGAGTTCATCGTTCTTCCAGTTTTGATCAATTTCATTATTTTTCCTCTTGAGCTTATTGTTTTTTCAGCCCACTGTGTATTGCTTCACATTTGTGAGCATTTCATACGGATACAAAGCAGATGGAAACTTTTCTCAGCTTGGGCTGTGGAGTCAGAATCACTTCACCCACCTGCAAGCAAGCTGGTGAGGCTGAAACGGCTCTTTAGCTGTGGTTTCATTTGTGTGGGGAAAAAATTGTAACTTGAGTCATGCAACTGGAAGTGCTTTGTGTACACTGCAAATATGAAATGGACTCTTGAAATTTTTTTTGATCCATTTAACTTTTTTCACTGATTTAAATTTGTCATTTTTTTAGATTTATGGGTTTTTTTATTCTTAAATTTATGATTCTCCATTTATATGTATACATATATACATGAATATATATATATATTTACAATGTATATTACCATTTTATGCATATGAATCTTAATCTTACATGACCATTTGAAAAAATATATTTAAACCATAGTGTGTAATATAATATATTTAAAGCCTTTACGTGTCCAAAGCTGTCATAGTACAGTGTGATCTTGAGGTATAAGGTTGTGACACAGGATTCAGGCAGCTCAAACGTTGGGGCAGCTTTCCCATATCTGCTTTGTGTGTTCACATCTGTGATGTAGGGGGGACTGAAGTCATTTAGTCTTCATGAACCTATGGAACAGAGTTCCTCATTTGAAAGAAAATTGAAATTTGCTTTTAATTCCTTTAGAAATTCTGGATTTCTGCCAGACCTCTGATTGATTGCAAAACTGATACAGAATCTGCACCAAAAAATTCCAACCTGCTTCTGTGTTTGCTTTTGGTAGTGTGAAAGTCAATGTCAGGTATTGCTGTTGTTTTTCTTTACTGCAAGCACATATTTAGGAGAAGAGGAAATAATTGTATGGCAAGGAAGAGGAGAAGAACACCTGAAAATTCAGGATATTTCAGAAAAATCATAACTGAAATTCTTTTCATAGAGCTCTGAAAATTTAGGGGGTCAGGGTCAGTTTCTTCATGATGAAAAAACGTGTATGAATAATTAGTTCCTCATACATTCATTTTCATGGTAGCGAGTTGTTTGCAACCCTGCCTTGATTTGCTTAAATTTGATGTGTAGTTTGGAACACTGGCTGGGAAATTTCCTTGAGCAATCTTTGGAAGGGCTGTTATTTTTCTGAGTAATTGTTTGCAAGGGTTCACTGCTGAACACCTTCAGCTTTGCTGTCTCTTATTGTGC